GGTTAGGTCAGGTTATGTTAGTTACAAGTATCTTTTAATTAGCATAACCTGACCTAACCTAACTTTACCTAACTGCCTCCTAAAATCAGTTTCAGCAGAAACTCAAAGAAAGCAGAAACTGATTTTGGGAGGCTTTTTGGTGAAGTTAGGTTATGTCAGGTTGAATTGGTCAGAGGGTAGGTACAGAGATAACAGGAAAGTAGGTACTGAGATAACAGGAAAGTACTGAGAAGAAGGCACAGTTGACAGATTTCTGCATAACTTTTGAGGAGGTGAAGTTTATCTGCCACTCTTGAATGAACCTGCTTCTGTTTTTTATTTGAAAAAAAAAGCTGCTGTTGTCAAGAAGACATGTCTTGTTTGGCATTTCAAGAGACTTGGTTCCTTAATTTTTTCAGGTCCTGGTCAGATTCGCAAAAATAGGTGTTCATAAGTTTACTGTCCAATACACTATTCAAGTTCGAGGCTTGAATGAAGAGAAAATGAGACAGACAGATTACTCCATTATCTCTGAAGAAGTTGAGTCAAGTTTGCTAAGTAACATTTTCAGCATAATTAATTATCTCTATCAAATGTAGTTGTCTGTTATCTTTTTGTGAAATTTCAGAAACACAATTGCAATCGAAATTATCTGCTGAAGAAGAAAAGTTGTCTTTTATCTTGATAACACTTCAGACAAATTTTCACCTGCTGGAATGAATTATTTTAATTTTACATTCAGAGGAAAACCTTTCTCCAAGCCCTTCTTTTCAAATTTTTAATGGTATTCCACTGTATGTGCTTCATTGGTTCATAAGTTAATTTTTCCAAAAAGCAGAAAATTTTCAAGTACCTTCCATAAATTCCTCCAAACAAACCTTTTCTTTGCAGATTTGCTGGTCCATGGGCCTATAAAGGTTGTATAACTCTTGGTCTATATTTAATATGAATGTTGCATCAAATTTTTAAAAACATATGCCTCTTCTTCAGAGACTGGAATTTTAGTTAGCACAGTGCAAATGACTAAATTTCAAAGTTGGTTTTCAACTCAAGTTTTGAAGAAATTTTTTTTAAGATTAACCATAAGTATTTTTTGCTCAGAAGTCTCAACAGAGGCTAATGATTCTTTGTTGAAGTTTACGCAGTCCATGGATGTGGTTGAAGCTGCTTGGGGAAAAATGCAAATTTTTTTTGCATTGTACTGTGTGTCTGAAAATGTTTCAGCAGAAACTGTAGTCCAGAACACTTCCGTTTTTAGGAAATGCCGAGATGACGGACTTGTTCAAGTGCGAGCGGAAGTCAGTTTCCTGTTGCGCCCCGAAATCCGCCATCCAGCGTCTCCTGCAAGAAGAACAAGCCCAGAAGATGAAGCTGTCCGTGACTGTGCTGCCACCTGGATTGATGCCTCAGAAGTTGCCGGGCGCCGCGTCTCAAGCGGCGCCTCCGCCGCAGTTGGTTGCCAGTAAACCAGGGACCCTGGATCACCTGGACCAACAGCAACAGGGCCAGTTTTTGCAGTCGTTTGCCGGTGGGGAATACGGGGACCAAGGCAGGCGGCCGTATAGGCCATTGCCGCCGCCGCCGCCACATTTGCCGCCTCATTGGCAAAACCGCGTGCCTCCGAATGCGTTTTTGCTGAGGAATGAGACCTTTTTCCCTCAACGTGAGTTTATTTGTTCTGTTTTTTTTTTTTTTTTTTTTTTTTTACAATAAGAGGAAAAAAATGATGGAATTTTATTTTGAAGGAAAAAAATAAGGGAATCTGACTGTATTTCAAATATTTTTGGAAAGCCTCGTGCATTTCGTTTTTGAGAAAGTTGAATTGGAAGAGAAACAAAAATTTGGCCAACTTCTTTCATTATTATTTTAGTTAATAAAATTGTTTCTTGCTTTCTTTTAAAGAAAATGAAATTAAAAATTAGATTTATTTTACAGGAAAGGGGAGATATTTGACAAACTGATTGCGTTCAATTTTTGAGGACGGTGAACTTCGACTTCGATGGAGGAAATGTTTGGCCAACTTCATGTATTTTTCATTTCTTGAGGAAAGGGAAAGTTTTAATTGTATGAAGAAAATGTTGGGCTAATTAATTATATTTCATTTCTTGAGGAAAGGGAACATGTTAATTAAAAGTTTGAATGAATTATTTGGCGGAATTCTTACGTTTCACTTCGGAGTTAGGAAGAAAGGTGTAACTGTATGAACATTCGTTTTTCTCAAAATTTCATTTTTAATAGGGAAATTTATACTTCGGTCAACATTCTTAAATTGATTTCCGAGGAAGAGGGAGATTTTAATTCTTGAAAAAAAAAAAAAACGGTTAGACCGGCCTCTGAAGTTTCTTGAAAAGAAAAGTAAAAATGGAGATTCTCATAGGATAAAGGTAATTTTTGACTGACCTTCTTTTTGAAGGATGATTTATTTATTTTAATTGGTTTATTCGATTGTTTCCTGTTTTTTTGTTACACCCTGTATATTTTTTGTCTTCATTTTCAGAAGGATTTGAATTACGGTAATAACCTCATTGATAAAAATATATTTACAGTATACTGTATTACAGTATGGGTATCATTGATGATTACTGAGGAGATGTTTGATTACCATAATAGCTCAGTTTATGAGCAATATTTAAAAACAAATTACATTAGATTATTAATATTACTGTATTATTAATTACTGTACTGATCATTATTTAATATCAACAAAACGTAGTGAATTTTGTTATTGATTCCACGTTTGAAAATGTGTGGCTTCTTGACTTGATCTGGCAGCAGGAGGAGGAGTGCCGAATTTGCGACGGCCAGCAGTGCCGCCAGGAGTGATCCCGCGTCCCGGCCAGCCGCCACTGACTGCGATGCCGCCACTGCCGCCTCCTCTCTCTTCACCCTCCCACCACCTCCACCTCCAACACCATCATACGCCGTCTGGGGTACCCCAATCTCTAGCGACATCTGGTGGCGGTGCGTTGTCGTCGCAACGCCACAAGGTTATCGGGGGTGCAGTGGACGTGTTGCCGTCGTCGTCGTCGTCGACGACGGCGTTGGGAAGTGTCGTCGGAGGTCTGTCGCAAACGTCGTCGATGTCGCTGGGATTCCTGAATCCCCTGATGAGCACCAAGAGCAAGTACATTTGCGGACTGAAGGGCACGCATAGGATCGGGAAAGTGGTTGGTGGGGAGGATGCGGCGGAGAACGAGTGGTGCTGGCAGGTGGCGCTCATTAATTCCCTGAACCAATACTTGTGCGGAGGGGCGTTGATTGGGAAGCAGTGGGTGCTGACTGCGGCACACTGCGTCACCAAGTGAGTATAGTCCGTCGCTTTTTGTCCAGCGTGTCCTGTTTTTCTTTCTGTTTATCCTGTTTTTTCAACGCGTTGGAAAGCGATAATTTCTTCTTTTTTTGTGTGTTCGTAATTTCCCCATCGTTTTGTCAATCCGACAGCATCGTGCGAAGTGGGGACGCCATCTATGTGCGAGTGGGCGACAACGACTTGACGAGCAAGTACGGCAGTCTCGGGGCGCAGACCCTCCGCGTGGCCACCACCTACATCCACCACAACCACGACTCGGCCACGCTGGACAACGACGTGGCGCTCCTCAAGCTCCACGGGGAGGCGGTGTTGGGCGCCGGCGTGTGTCTCGTGTGCTTGCCGGCACGTGGCGTCGAGCGCCAAGCGGGCACTCGGTGCACCGTCACGGGATACGGATACATGGGCGAGAGTGAGAGAGCTTGCTTCATTTCTTTTTTTGTTTTTGTTGTGTGTGACCATTTATCTAGAGTGTTTGTTTATTTTATTCATTTATTGAGGAATATTTTTTGGAAAGGTTTACGGAATTTTAAAGCGTTGAATTTAATTTCTATTTATTCATATACCGAAGGATATTTGTTGAATTTAAGGAATTTCAATGTAAATTTTATTTTTAATTCTGGTTTCATTTATTTATGCACTGGGGATATTTGTTGCATTGTTGGAATTTTATTATTGATTTAATTGCTTTCCTCGCATACAGAATTTTCTTTAAGCGGATTCTTTTTTTCTTTTTCTTGTCACGCGTGTCATTTGTTTTGCAATGTTACAGTTCAGCAATTGCATTAATTTCTTTGGAATTTGTAGGAAATTAACCGAAATCAACTTTTTGTACGGAATTTGCAAAATTCTTAAAGTTTCGATTTGTTTGCAAGTAATTTGTCGTGTACACTGTGATCTCGTAGACGGTCTTCATGAGTATAGGAATTGAAAGATCAGCTCTGATTGAAATGACATTATTATTTTTTATTTGCAGCTGGACCGATTCCATTGAGGATCCGTGAGGCGGAAATGCCGGTGGTGAGTGACAGCGAGTGCATCCGTAAGATCAACGCAGTGACGGAGAAGATCTTCATCCTGCCAGCGTCATCTTTCTGCGCTGGAGGGGAACTAGGACAAGACGCTTGCCAGGTTGGTCCGTAGATGTCGCCTGCTACTGTATGCAGTACGCCCGTCATTTGAACTGCAGATCACCCTTCCACAATCTTTTCCTGGAGACATTTATTTTGCGCCCACACTTGGTTTTCCCTTTATTCATTGTTCAGTAAATCCCGTGTACAACGAAGTCTCGTTACGAAGAATTCTTGTTCGGATGAAATTAATTTCTGGAGTCTATCCAGAATGGCAGCGCTGGTAGTTGAGTCTTATAATGTAAAGAATTTTATGTAAGTACACAAGTTTTTTCCAGACTCTGAACGCTTTAGTGTTCATTGTGTGGTTCTCTGTAGTTTTTTAGACGTCTTGGAAAGGTATTCATTTCCCGGAAACCGTAGATGAACTTCAAAGTCTTCTACAGTATTTTCATCTTCCAATCTCCTTTTTACATCTTGAATTTGTGTCTCGTGTTGTAAAACATGGGGTTTTCCTCTCTTTCTGGAACAGGGTGATGGAGGAGGACCATTGGTGTGCCAAGAGGACGGGTTTTACGAATTGGCGGGACTGGTCTCTTGGGGTTTCGGTTGTGGTCGGGAAGACGTGCCAGGGGTCTACGTGAAGGTATCTTCCTTCATTGGCTGGATCAACCAAATCATTTCGGTGAATAACATCTAGAAAGATCTGACAAGTTTGTTTTTGGAAGAGAAATCTGGCTGCTCATCAAACAAACGAACAAGTAACGAATCTTGCTGAATCCGTCCTTCGAAAGCGTTGCTCATATATGTTGTTGTTGATGCCCTGAAAAGGGCTACTGCTTTTTTTTTTTTTTTTTACTGCCTCGGCATTCCCCTGATCAAAGAGAAGAAATCAAGTAGTTCTCAGGAGCAATAGGGTTGTGAATGACGAAGTAACTTATTTATTGAGCATGTTTGTTTGCCAGTGATTGATTGACCTATTTATTGAGAATGCTTGATTACCAATTGTTGAAGTCCGGCATAGATCTGCTGGGACCATGTCATTTGTTGACCTTGTACCATTGTTGGTTTGTTGTTGATGCTCTCTTGGACATCTCAGTGTACGCTTTTCAAAGTGTACATACCAAAGATTAGTGAGAAAGACATTAAGTTACTGTAAGGATATTATGTCGATATTGACCAGGTTTCTCAAGTAACCTGCGACCAGAGATTTTTAAGACGGCGAAGAGTCTGGTGTTCGTTGGAAAGGATGCCAGGATGTCAACTGACCATTGTTCACGATATTGTTATGTTTGTTTGTTCAACTGCTGCCCTGAAAAATTCCATTGTTTTTCATGCATATGTCAACAGTAATGCCGTGATATCAAAGCTGGATTATTTTGCCAGGAAACTCTTGACGTAATAACTGGTGCTCAGAAACTTCCTGGTGAGCTTTGAGGTGAAGAATGCATTTAGCTGAACCATTCCATTTAAAATTTTGTCTGACTGCGTGATCTATATTCTTCCGGAAATGTTCGAGGTGCTACTGATGATGAAAATATACGGAGCATTCAAGCGTTGCATTTCATTTCAGGGAGTGGGGGACTTTTCGGAATCGTTAAGAGAGTAACACTCAATTACACTGCTTACTGCCAATTTTTGAACAGTTGCTAAATGGAATCAGCATAAATTTTCGGTTGGATACTTGCTCACTACCTGATGGGAAAGCTAGAGATATCTTGGAGTTAAGTAAATTTTACCTTAGATTACGTTAGAACTTGAACTCAAAACCATAATTAAGTTATTCTCAAGTACTATACAAGCAGATTTCTCATACTATCCCCAGTGCACAGTGCGAAGTAAGTATAATTATTTGCTCATTTAAGAGTTGTGAAAGTTCATTATAAACATTTCTGGCGAATTTTTATGTAAGACAGAATATTATGTCAAATAATTAAGAATGATTGATAGTTATGAGGCGGGAAGGCAGCTTAAAATTTTTCATTGAGAGAGAAATCTAAAGCTGACTGATTTGATGTTTTTTAGATTAATATCCATTCTAGGTACAAGTTGATGAACAGCTAAATGCCCTCAGCCGAGGTGGGGATGCAAATTGTTCTTCTGCTCCTCAATCCCTCATTCATTTCTAATATTGTATATGTTCTGTCTAATACTTGGCTACAGATGGAAACAAGAAAAGACCTCACAGTCAATGCTCTCCACTTGAGGGAAGTTTAATGGATCAGAGGAGCTGGGCTCTTGCATGCCCTACAATCAATTGATCCATTAAACTTCACTTCAGTGAAAAACATTGACAGTGAGGTCTTTGTCTTATTTCCATCTGTAGCTGGATAGTGAATAAAACATTCATTAGACACCAATCACGGATTGAGGAGCAAAAGAAAAAATTGCATCTGCATCCAATGAAAGCTGTCTATCATCTTTTATGGACCAACCCTTGTCCTTAGAACTCAGCAAAAATGTCATTTTTATTGTATCAGGCCATTCCTGAATTTCATGAACCTGCTGAATGATACAAAATTATCCACACAAGTATTATAAAAAGATTATTGACAGTGGCTGCTTTATCCAAAACTCATTTTAATCAGAATTCTTCACTTGCATTGTTATGCTCTTACATTTTTTGTGATGCAGCAGGAGTTACACAGTGTCAAAGTTTCAATTAAATGGGAAGCAAATGGCAATCATGAAGACACTTGATAGGCTGATATGGCAGGATTCTGCATTATATATAGAAGTGATTGATTGGACATCCTTGCAAGAGCAAAAACAGAACGAAAGAGTCAAGAACCTCTCTTAATCAAGAGAATCAGGGAGTCACAGAAATGTAAATAAATTAAAACGAAAATTGCACAGCGATTCCAAGGTTTTACATTTTACACCCCCTAGAGAGTGGGACAATAATCAAGGTTTCTGGTTGGCAATAGCACTACCACCAACAGTACCATTATTACCACCACTAGACGATGCATTGTTGTTATTGCTGCTGCCGCTGCCACCACTAGATGGCGCCTGCTGCTGTTGAATCGCCTTCTCCACCAGTCGCCGGTACTCGTCAAAGCCGCCCTCCAGGGACCTGACTGTCCCGTTGCCGCAGACCCAGAGCTCGTTGCAAATCATGCGCACCAACCGCTCGTCGTGGGACACCAGCAAAACCCCGCCCGCGAATGTCAGCAGACACTTGCCCAGGGCTTCGATCGTCTCAATGTCCAAGTGATTCGTGGGCTCGTCCAGGATGAGGAAGTTGGGACACGAGGCCGCGAGGAGAGAGAAGGCCAGCCGCGACTTCTGGCCCCCAGAGAGACACGCCACTTGCTGCAGGGCCAGGTCCCCAGAGAGGCCAAATGATCCCAGTAACCGTCTGTATTCCTCCTGAACAACAACAAAAGAGTTTTTATTCTTCCGACAACAACAAAAAACTCGCTCAACACAGCGCCTAGAAGTTGAACAATAGCCTCTACATCCCAATACAGTAGGTCCTTCTTTTTTCCATGTCCAGGCGGAGACCATGAACTTCTCCAAACAAAATATGACGCGCACCACATATTTGGTGACTAAAAAGGGGCCAACTTTTGAAAATAAAATTCATCAAAATCAAAATTTTGACTTGAATTAAAATGAACCCAAATCGAATTGACTTTCTACTGCTTCCATCAAAATTAATTCTTTTTTGATATTTGTTGAAAATTATTCAGAAGAATCAAGAATTGTTCAAGAACACCTAACCTACCAAAAATTTTGAAAAATGGTACACCCACTTATGATGCACACCCTCATTGTTTCTACTTAATTTTTTTTTAAGATTTCTATGTGGACGGAAATTTTATTTTTTGTATCTTTTTTCTGAGCTTTTTTCCGGTACTCAAGTGAATATTGTACAGTGAGACCCTGAGATGTGGATGGAATTGATGCATCAAGAGTGTCCCTACATTGAGTCTCCTTTTCCCTTAAACTTATATTATATAATTTTCAATTGGTGTTTTATGGACAAAATATTCACCATAATTCCATGAAAATAAAAATTGTTACTCAATTAAAACTGATTCAATCAATATCTTTCAACACAATATGGACATTTGGAGAATTAAATACTGATACCTCTGAACAGTACATAGAAAAGTTGGCATTCTCTGTTAGAATAACGTTCAAGTGAAACAGAGAGAAGGAAGTCCCTCCATGCTTGATGTAATTTTTTTAAATTATCTAAATGGATGCTAAATTGATGAGAGAATGCCAAAGAACTTTTCTTACATCAACAATAGGGTTGGAAATATCTGTTTCTTGTAATTTGACCTGAAACTTATCTGCAATTTTATCACACAATGTCCATATGTCAAATCAGTGTCTGCATGTGGGGCCTTTATTATTAATTTTCTATGGGAAAATAAGTGTCCCTATGTCGAATTGTTTGCATGTCAAGGTGTCCGCATGTGGGGGTCTCACTATATTTTCTGAAAATTAATTTTATTTGAAGTCACAAAAAAAACCGGGTCAAGCTACTCACAATGGAAAAGATCTTTCTCAATGAAACAGCACTAGGACACATTGACAGTACAGTCAAACCCCGCAAAATGGACTTGATTTGTGCAAAAGGCTAGTCTGTTGCATGAAGAAGTCTGTTATGCAAATTTACTCATCTAAAAATTTTAATTTTTACTTTTCACCATCAAATTTTAAGCCAACAGTAGTTCGTTGTGCGGATTTAGTCAATTGCAATTTTGCCGTTGTGCAAAAATCCATTGGGCAGGTGTCAAATGTATTTCAATGAATTTCATTTTGTTCATTCCCAAGATGAAAATATACATGAAATGCAAACCTGAGGCCGTCCAGGGAACCTGTTCTCCGCAAGACGCAAACAAGAGACGTTCAGATCGAGTTGATCCACGTGATGTTGTGCGAAGTAGCCAAACTTGAGGTTCCTATGCGCCGTCCTCATTCCCAATGTCGGAGAATATTCCCCCAGAATTATCTGAGGATGAAAACAAGAGAAAACATTGAAAAACAAAATCATCAAAACGAAAATGTTCGTGGAATACTGGTGCTCTCGTCTATCGTTCACTCAAGAAATCTATAGTTTTTGGGTCATTTGCTGAACAATAAATTCAGGGGAAAAAATTACACAATAGATATAAACAATTTTAATTTTTGAATAAACAAAACCAAAATCAATATTAAACCAAGTAAAAGAAAAAAAAGCAATTACATTTCATTGTTGACCAAAAATTCTCACAATTTCAGCTTTTTCGACATACGAGGGTTGGTTTGTAAAATATGATAAACAGCCTCTTGCCATCATTGGAGGCTGATGCAATTTTTTCTTTTGTTTTTTATTTCTTTATTGGTGTCTGAATAAATTTTTAATCCACTACTTACCTACAGAAAGGAAACAATAAAAAGATCTAGATCACAGTGAATCCTGGAGTGAATTTAACCAGATAATTTTTACAGCATGCAGCTGCTCTTGATCAATTAAACTTCACTTCAGTGGAGGGCATTCAGTGTGATCCAGGTCCTTTTCTTGTTTCCTTCTGTAGCCGAGTAGTGGATGAAAAATTTATTAAGACACCAATGAAGGATAGAAGAGCAAAGGAAGAAAAAAAATTGCATCCACCTCCAATGACATCAAGTGGCCATTCATCATTTTTTTTACAAACAAATCCTTTTTGTTTTGAAATTGATCCTCTAATAATTCAAGTATTGTACTGTACAGTGAGACCTCCACATGCGGACACCTCAACCTGAAGACCATTTGACATATAGACACTTATTTTCCCATAAAAAATTAATAAAAGAGGCCCAACATGAGGACACTGACTCAACATAGGGACATTTTGTGATAAAATTGCAAATACATTTCAGGCCAATTTACAAGAAACAGATATTTCCAACCCTAAACTTGATGTAGGAAAAGTTCTTGGGCATTTCTTTCACCAATTTACCATCCATTCAGCTAATTTTAAAAAAATTACCTCCAGCATAGAGGGACTTCCTTCTCTCTTTTTTCACTTGAATGTTATTTTTTACAGAGAATGCAAACATTTCTATGTATACTGTACAGAGGTATCAGCATATTCAATTCCCCAAATGTCCATATTGTGTTGAAAGATATTGACCAAATCAGTTTCAATTGGGTTAAACAACTTTCATTTTCATGGAATTATGGTGAGATATATTTTGTCCATAAAATTCCAATTGAAAATTATACAGTACAATGTAAGTCTAAGGGAAAAATGAGACTTGACTCAGGGACACTACTCTTGATGCACCAATTCCGTCCGCATCTCAGAGTCTCACAGTACAGTACTGTACTGTCTTTGAGTACAGTAAGTACAGTACAACACCAAAAAAAAAAAAAAGAGAGAAAAATAAGTCAGTCAAACCAACCTTCAGCAGCGTCGTTTTCCCCGCACCATTATCACCCACAATGCAAATCCTCGACTGCATGGTCCCGTTGAGATTGACGCCCGAGAAAATGGTCCTGCCGGTGCCTTCGTAGGCAAACGACACCTCGTCCAGTTGCAGGATCGGCGGCGAGAGTCCGACGCAGGCGTCGTCGGGGAACTTGAGCGCCACTTCCGACTCCTTCTCGACCGGCACCAACACCGGCATCCGCTCCAGCATCTTGATCTTGGACTGCACCAACGACGCCCGCTTGGCGTTGAACCGGAACTTGTCGATGAATTCCTGGGCGTGGGCCCGGGCCTGCATCTGGGCCTCGTACTCCTTCTGCTGGTTCCGCAGACGGTCCGAACGCGTCCGAACAAACGTGGAATAGTCGCCCTTGTAGCAATCGATCCTCCTGCATTAATAAATCGAAGAGAAAGAAAGAATAAATAAATGTTCCGACTGATTTTCAACTGAATCTCGATCTCGTCACAATCGAATTTCTTCTCGTGGTCCCCGTCAGATGGCCAACGTGTTGCACAGGTGTGGTGGACTTTGTCTGGTCAACGAATTTCAAGGAACCAGAAAAAATAATTCGTTGTATAGAGAGTTCTGTTCGTTCTACAGGGAAAAACCCTGGTAGACAAGATCGTTGCATAGAAAGTCCACCAGTATCTTACTTTCGTTTCGCAGAATTTTTGTCCATTACGAAGCTTTTCCAAAAAATATTACGAGTTCATGACTGACGCTTATTATGAATTCGTTATGCAATATTAACACCGAGTATTTAGTTGAGTACCTCGTGCACTTCTATTAAAATTAACAGGGGGAAAAAAGCATAAACCGGAATATAATTGAAAAATTTTTGCTACATTTTAAACTTGTACTCCAACCAAGAAATTAAAAAAAAAGAAATTTCGACAGATCTATTAAAAATGAAAACCGTGGAAAATTAAGATTCAATTCAATTACAGTATCCAATTCACGTCAGAATTAATGTTGTGATAAACTTCATTTCCAAAATATTGCCATTTTTAGTCTCTAAAAATGGAATGAGCGTCTTAACCATACTTGGTAGTTTTTTCAAAATTTTAGGCTGGAAAATTTTGGTTCGAATCTTATCCGAGGGCATGCGGTACTTCAGTAAATTCTGATTTCTTCACATCACATATCTTTTCAACTTTTTCTGAATTCTTTCTACCATATCTCAATCTTACTCAGAATTCTCAACATTTTGAAGACAACAGATAAAAAATAAAATACGCACACAAGAAACCTTGCCACTTAATTACAGTTACAGTGGTACCTCACAGAACGAACACCTCACAAAACGAACGTTCCACAGAACGAACGTTTTTTTCCCCATAAATCCATTTTTTTAACCCTCACAGTACGAACAAAATTCGTACTACGAACAAGGGTGAATTCACACCCTTCTTCGTAGTATGAACTTTTTACTACGAACAAGTTTTCTTTGTTTGTACAGTAGTACAAAAAAATTTCTGTATTCTGAGACAATCGTCTCAGATAACACAGAAACTTTTCAGACTACAGACATTTCTGTGTTTTGATACAATTGTCTCAGAACACAGACAATTGTCTCAGTAACCTAATTTTTCACATGAAAAAAATTTTTGTGTTCTGAGACAATTGTCTCAGAACATAGAAATTTTCATGAAATTTGTGAACAAATTTCACAACAAATTTCTGCATTCTAAAAAATTGCTGAAATTTTTTCATGTGAAAAAACAAAACAAAATTCTGTGTTCTGAGAATTTTTCCTGAGAACCCAGAAATTTTTTATTTGAAAAATTTAATAAAAACTTTTGTGATCTAAAAAATTTCTGTGTTCTAAAAAATTGTCTCAGACAATTGTCTCAGAAATTTTTTAGAACAAAAAAATGTTTATGAAATTTGTCAAATAAAATAATTTCTGGGTTCTCCGAAAAAATTCTAAGAACCCAGAAATTTGTTAACAAATTTCATGACAAATTTTTTAGACCATAGAAATTTTTATGAAATTTGTCACACACAAAAATTTCTGTGTTTTGAGAAATTTTTCTGAGAACACAGAAATTTTCTTGTGACAAATTTCAAAAAACAAAAAAAGTTCATGAACATTTCTGTGAAATCACAGGAATTTTCATGAACTTTGTCACACAAAAAATTTCTGTGTTCTCAGAGAAATTTCTTAGAACACAGAAATTTATCATGACAAATTTTTTAGACCATAGAAATTTTCATGAAATTTGTCACACACAAAAATTTCTGTGTTATGAGAAATTTTTCTGAGAACACAGAAATTTTTTTGTGACAAATTTCAAAAAACAAAAAAAGTTCATGAACATTTCTGTGAAATCACAGGAATTTTCATGAACTTTGTCACACAAAAAATTTCTGTGTTCTCAGAGAAATTTCTTAGAACACAGAAATTTCTGTGAACACAGAAATGTTCATGAAATTTGTCAAAAAAATTTCTGTGTTCCAAGAAATTTCTGTGTTCTAAGAAATTTCTCTGAGAACACAGAAATTTTTTGTGTGACAAAGTTCATGAAAATTTCTGTGATTTCACAGAAATATTCATGAAATTTGTCACAAAAAAATTGTGTGTTCTGAGAAGTTTCTGTGAACACAGAAATGTTCATGAAATTTGTCAAAAAAAATTTCTGTGTTCACAGGAATTTCTGTGTTCTGAAAAATGTCTGTGTTGAGACAATTGTCTTAGAACACAGCAATTTTTCAGAACACAGAAATCTATGTGTTCTGAACACAGAAATTTTAATAAAATTTTTTTGTGACAAATTTCATGAAAATTTGTGTTCACAGAAATTTCTGTGTTCTGAAAAATGACTGTGTTGAGACAATTGTCTTAGAACACAGCAATTTTTCAGAACACCAAAATTTCTGTTTTCTGAGACAATTTTCATGAACTTTGTCACACAAAAAAATTTCTGTGTTCTGAGAACACAGAAATTTTTTTGTGACAAATTAAGCAATTTTGTTTAGGAAAAAGTGTAAAATTTTGGAATATGATAGAATAACTATAATTAAGTGGCAAGATTTCTTGTGTGCGAATTTTATTTTTTATCTGTTGTCTTGAAAATTTGAGTTGCAAAATTTGATCTGGACAAACAAACGGACAAGAAAGCGAGTTAATAAAAATGTGTTAATGTTAAAATGGAGCGAGCGTATTACCCATGCTTAGTAGTTTTGTCAAAATTTTAGGCTGGAAAATTTTGGTTCGAATCTTATTTGAGGGCATGCGGTACTTCAGTAAATTCTGATTTCTTCACATCACATTTTCATCTTTTTCTGAATTCTTTCTACAATATCTCAAAATTTTCAAGACAACAGATAAAAAATAAAATTCGCACACAAGAAATCTTGCCACTTAATTATAGTTATTCTATCATATTCCAAAATTTTACACTTTTTCCTAAACAAAATTGCTACGTGATGCAGATTTTCCAGGCCGGTAATGAAAAATACAACAGCACCAAAAAATCCAGTTGAACATTCAGTACTCTGCAAAAGCCTCGCTTAAAAAAAAAACTCGGGACACGAAATAAATCATCAACAGCGATATTTTCAAGAACGTAAAAAAAAATTGTTACATGAATCCAGACTGTTCATTTTTATTAGATTTTTCCGTCGGGCTACGTCAGGAAATGCGCACCTGGAATGTAAATGCAGGATATCCGTAGGAACAGTGTCCAAAAAGTGTCTGTCGTGAGAAACAACGAGGATCGTCGACTGCCACGACGTGATCAGGTAGTTCTCCAGCCAAATGATGGCCTTCATGTCCAACATGTTGGTGGGTTCGTCGAGCAACAAGAGGTCGGGACAGGCAAACAGGGCCCTGGCGAGGGCGAGTCTCATGCGCCAGCCGCCGGAAAAGGATTTCGTGGGTCGGGTTTGCGCGTCCGGAGGGAAACCCAGGCCGGCCAGAATGGACCCGGCTCTCGCGGGGGCCTTGTCCGCTTCCATCTCCTCCAATTCCCCGTACACTGCATTCAGTCTCGCATTCAACACCGGATCCCTGAACAACAACAAAAAAAAACATTCCAGTACATCAATCAACAACACACGACCCGATCCGCACAAAAGATTGTTTTTTTCTCGTTGGCACCAACAAACGCCGAAGGAATGAGGAAAGTTTCAGAAATGTCTATAAAGTTGAGAAAATGCACGTACACAGTCAACCCTGGATTTAGAGTCACACTTTTTTTTTTTTGCAACAAATTTTCAATTTAGTGCCAACTCACTCAGTGCCGTAAGAAAATATTTCGTCACGGATGAAAACAATGGACCAAAATCGAAGGAACTAAAGCATTTTCTTACGGATATCATCTGGTTATTACTGACGAACTCACGCCCATGCTCACAAAAAAAAAAACTCAGGATAGTTTTAAACCTACTATTTCTGATTTTAAATTGTTGAAAAATATCTTCGTTCCTGAATGACACCTTTCTTTATTGAAAATGTTACGAATAAAGCGGGAGCTTTCTTTGAAAATATTTCGAAAAGCTGTAACAGGAAACACAGGGATTCTGAACACCTCCGACGAATTGAGACACGAATGAGTTCACCTCGTAGCTTCCAAAAAAAAAATAAAACAAATACGTCCACCTCTCATTTTAAATTCACCAAAATATATTTTCGCGAGAAAAGCGGGGCGTTTTATTTTTTGAAATTCTCAACTTACCCTTGACCGCCAATTGATTTCCCTAAAGCGTCGTTCTGGTCAACAGCTGGTGGCTGTTGCTCATCACCATTGGACGCAGTATTGACACTTAGTGCGGCGAGTTTAGCCACAAGCATCTTTTCTTCAGCCAAGAGCGCAGTTCTGCGTTCATCACATTCCAAAACACTGTCCAGAGCTGTCGTGTCGTCACCTGCCACTTCTTGCTCGACGTGGAGAATGGAAATATGTCCGGGGATGACGACTTGGCGGTTCGACAACATCCGCAACAGGGTCGTCTTGCCGAGTCCATTCCTCCCAACTAGGCCATACCTTTCGAAACAATTTTAAAAAACTATACATACAACATACAGTTAATTTTTAAAGAGATAAGGTGTTAGCGACGATTCCAGCGACTTACCTTCGACCATATATAAGCATCAACGTAGCACCAACGATCAGTTGCTTGTTCCCGAAAGCCAAGTCCAAGTTTTCTATCCTGATGTCTTTGCTGTTCATACTCCCACGGGCTTCCATTTTAACATCCTTCTTGGACAGAATTTGCGACGCACTCGCTCCACTAGTCAGGCTTGCAGGCAAGCCGGAAGGAACACTAGGAACAACCGTGGGTGTGTTCAGCTTGGTGTCTTGCTTTTGTTTTATCTTGGCCTCTGCCTTGGCGAGCTTCGTCTGGTCCACTTTCAACGTTTCATCTCGTTTAGTCAACCATATACTGGACATGTCTTGACCATTGTCGTCGCCTTCTGCAGCCACGGCTGCGGCAGTGGCGAGATGGACAGGAGCTTCGAGCTTTCGAACGAGGTTCTTGTTCACAGCCGAAGTATCGGATTCTCCGTTGATTGACTCCGATTTTTCAGAGGGGCGGAGGATTCTGAACAATTCTTCGCATATCTTGCGGATTCCGTGTTCACTGCCATCGTCTCCTGAGACCTCCATCAACATGTCACCGACGGCATCATAGATGCAGTCGGATGAGATGAATTCCTCTGAGCCACCATCAAGTACACCTAAACAGGGTATCATGTTCATCAAGATCACGTTTGAATGAGGAACTTACAACCGCGTTTCCTCAATACAGTAATGGAATTGGTCGAAAACGAACATGCACAACGAAGTCGGTTGCGTATGCCTGGAATACTGTCAGTACACAGAAAAAACTCCAGACGTAGACGACATTGGATAGCCTTTCGGAAATTATCGTTCGCGACACTAAGCTCGAGATTTACGAAAGAATTTATCCCAGAAAATCACAATACGCAAGAATTTAATCCAGTGTTTATGTAAACGTGAGACTTGATGCACAGAATCGAATTATTTTGTAATTGCTCAAGAAATTCAAACCGACTTCCCATCTTTTGAAATACGCCTCCGAGTACTGAGCTGGAGTATATATCCGGGCAAGGCTTTCACGGCATATAGTCCATAAACCAATACACATACTCTAAAAATTGTGCGCAAATTATTCCAACAAAAAACTACGAAAAATGTCTCACCGAGAATGTAGTCCAAGATATGCGAATCCGCCTGCGGGAACCTAGCAGTAACAATACTGGCCAAATTCGACATCACGGGTATTTCTAAATGGGATTATTTCAACAACACAAGTACCAATCACATTATTTCCAAAGCCATCCTAGACACGAAGGAATAATGAGTCAGAAATTCATTAAAACATAAATTTACAATCATTAATAGCCATTCGCGATCCTTCGAACGTCATGCGTATCATTCGGCTCACATCATCACAGAAAAACGTTCGAGTTTCCTGATACCACGCGAAGTTCATTTCTGAATTTCAAGAGCAATTCTGCACACGAAAGTGCAACATGATTCAGCGGTTCGCGTTGGTTGTGCATCCTTAATTCTTAAGCCTTCCTCAGCGTATCCGCAGTCACAATTTGCTGACCTCAACAATTCTGCAGCAAAAGAAAATTATCGGAAACTCTTCCATTCCGGTGCGGTACCTATTTTCAGGCTTTGAAGGTCAGACGCCTTTATGATTAATTTAAACGACCGGGTTTGCATAAACTAGCAAGGTCAACTCACTCACTTTCATCGTACAGAGACGAACAACGGACTCCCATCTTCAGCATTGATCACTAGATGACGTACTCCTTCATCGAGCGTAGCACCTCGGATTGAAGGATGCGTTTTGAGTGACAAGGTGTTTCATATGTACGGTAGTTATAGCCCTCGTAAAGATTCGTTCAATATAATGATCTGTTCGTTTATTACACAACCGTGTACAGTTAAGAATGTTACATATTTCTTGCGCATCGATAAAAATTAAAAAGGAATACGGTACTACACGCATCATATCAAGCTGACAACATCAACCGATTATACTGCATCAGGTACAGTACAGTACCTGACACACTAACAGGCATCGATTATGAGAGTACAGTACGCTCTTAGACTAGCGACATCTACACATGACATGAAACGCTATTCACCCAAAGCTAGCTAAAGCGACGGCGCGGGAGCAATAGGCGGTGGGCTTTTCTATGGCATTGTATTCGCGATGTACACTTACCTGGACGTTCTTTCGTGTAAATTAAATGGCACGCAATTTAGAAGAAAGCCCTAAATGATTAGCCTTTTGCACTTTTGGTTACCCTATGTAGTATACTGTAGAGTACTAAAAAGTTAGAACTGATGGGAGAAAAATGAGGAACAAGAATAAATGTGGATTCTATTTGTACGGGCCATTAAAAATAAGTACTTGAAAATTTTTGAGGCTAGACGTTTGCTAAACCTATTACTCTACAGCATTATGAAATACTGAACTATACTATACTGCATATTGTACTTGGAAATGTGTGCATTAGTAAATACCATGTTAGAGCCTCAAATTTTAGATTGGAGAAGAAAATAGTTTTCAGAAAATATTGGCATGCATAGAAAACTATACGGCTAATTCACAGAATTTTTTATTATACTTTTTGAGCAGGATGACAGGAGAACAAATGAAAACATTCATCATTGCTCCTCCAAAGGGTTCCTTTATACTGCATAACCAAAATTTGCCTCATAAATCAGCCCCCATACATTAGGAACACTGCAGAGAAAACAATAATTTGGCATCACACAGAAAACAAAAAAAATTTTCCAACTCAAAGATGAGATGGAAAAAAACCACAGCAGAATTTAAAATTATTTTTTTCTAAAATAAAATAAACCCCTGTCCTGTATATGGAATGAAACTTCCCAACTTGGAGATGGCGTCAAGGCAGCGTGTACCAATTCCACATCCAGGTTGCCAGCCCAGAAAACAAAAAAACCGTGCCTGAATGTGGCAAATAAATGCCGTACTACAGTGAAATCTCGTTACAACAAATACCGTTACAACAAATTTTTCATTACAACAAACTTTTTTTCAAGTCCTGGCAGAAAGCCTATAGACCACATGTTAAAAAATCTCATTATAACAAACTTCGTAATTCCGTTATAACAAACTTTTTTCAGGAAAATTTTTCATTTTTATGGAAAACTGCTAAAAAAATTTGTGGACATTTTTTCACTCATCATTGAAGCCTGAATGAAAGGAGGCTTTGATGAAGGAGAAGAAATGCTTCAAAATCTGGTTCAAACCTGAAAATTAAAATTTGAATTGCAGGGCTGGGTTATGCTTGAAGTGATCTTCATTTGCAGAGAATTTTGGCTGTGAGCATAACTTCCTTGGATAAAATGTAAAGAAAATTGTGGATTGATGATTTAAACCTGTGAATTTGTGTTTTAAACCTTTAAACACATTCACAGGCTTGAATCATCAATCCACAATTTTGTTTACATTTCATCTAAGGAAGTTATGCTCACAGCAAAAATTCTCTGGAAATGGAGATCACTTCAAGCATAACCCCTGCAATTCAAATTTTAATTTTCAAGTTTGAACCACAGCAAATCCACAGGTTGAAATCATCAATGCATACATTTTTCAACATTGCATCTAGGGGGATTATGCTCAAAGCAGAATTGTTTGAAAATGTGTCTGATTCAAGCATAGCCCTCTTAGAAACAATAAATGTTGGAAAAAATCTAAGGGATTAGGCTCATTTGGAAGCCATTTTTAACCCTGCTATGTACACTTTCTGAGAAATTGACTTTGACCAACATTTTTGAAAATTTGGGGGGGGGGGGAATCCAAATGAAATTTCAATTTCAAAGACAATTTTCATCTCAATATTTTTAGGAAATTTGAATTGCAGGCTTTAAAAATTATTCTGAGGCAGTAAGGGGTTGGGCTCATTTGGAAGCCATTTTTAACCCTGCTATGCACACTTTCTGAGAAATTGACTTTGACCAACATTTTTGAAAATTTGGGGGGGGGGGGGGGATCCAAATGAAGCTTCAATTTCAAAGACAATTTTCATCTCATTATTTTTAGGAAATTTGAATTGCAGGCTTTAAAAATTGTTCTGAGGCAGTTATGATCATAGCAAAAAATCTTTGAAAATGAGGGCTGCTTTGAGCATTACTTCTCAGATTTTAGGGTTATCTTTCATTATCCATTCTGTGGACTGACAAAGAAAATCCAAAGAAATTTTGTAAAAATATTTGCAAGAATAATTGCCATGACAGTAGGGTTTCACAATGATTCCAAGTTAAGTGATTGATTATTTTTACATGAATTTGGTCATTTTATGATTTTTCATTTTGTAGAAGAAAAATTGACACATTTTTGCCCAGAAAACAGGTAAGGCAAATATCCTGGCAGATAATTTTAAGTGATTTTTTCCACCCTGTACATACAGCTGATCATCATTACTGTAAAGACTCTCAGCAAAAGAAGCAAGTGATGGAAAAAATGCCCAAAAGTGGTGAAACATACAATTTAAAATGACCATTAATTTGTGTGGCCAAATTATGTGATCACTAATTTTCACCAGAAACATTTTCACACAATTCTAACCATACCACAGCATCAAGAACTGAAGAGTAAAAAACTTCACTGTGTAAAAAAAAAAAGATGCTGAACAGTCACAGTCCCAGGATGGACTGGAACATCTTGACCAATTAATGGTGCATGAATTTTTTTAATATTTTTGGAGCACACCTTCATTTTAATTCTTTGAAAGACAAAGCTGAAGAACTGCTCAAAGTGATCCCCATTTGCAGATAAATTTTGCTGTGAGAATAACTTCCTCAGATGAAATGTAAACAAAATTATGGATTTAAACCACAGATTTAAACCTGTGAATTTGTGTTTTAAACCTTTAAACACATATTCAAAGGCTTAAATTGTCAATCCACAATTTTGTTTACATTTCATCTAAGGAAGTTATGCTGACAGCAAAAATTCTCTGCAAATGGAGATCACTTTGAGCATAACCCCTGCAATTCAAATTCTAATCTACTTGGATTAGAATTTGAATTGCAGGGGTTATGCTCAAAGTGAAATCCACTTTCAAGGATTTTTTGCTGTGAGCAAAAAGTCACTGGAATCAAATATTTTTTAAACCTGCAATCTACCCCCTCTAGAAATTTAAATTAAAGCCTAATTTTAAACTGTTTTTTTCTCTATTTTTTTTTACCAGAACCTCTCAGATGCACTGTTTTAATAAAGTTCCATCTGATGAAGAAAATAGTTCCCTCACAGTGGCACAGGATTCAGCTGGATTTTTTATGCATTTTTGGGATTGCTGATTAAAAAAAAAAATTCTGTGTTAAGTAAAATTCTTTTCTTCCCCATCAAATATTAATATTGTGTATGATTTTTTTAAATTTTTTCAATTTTTTCTAACAATAATAGAAATTTTCAAAAATATTCAAATTTTTCCAATTAAAAAAAAATTTGTTATGTGAAATTTGTTCATTCTGCAGGGGTAAACATGGTGTATTTTTGCCAAAAAAAATGTTTATGTGGAAAGTTTGCTCTACAGGGTGGGCTTGTAGTGCAGGGTACCACTGATGTATGCAGATCTGAGCTTTAAAAAATTTTCCAGTCATTAATATTTAAAATCTCGTTACAACAAATTATTCGTTATAACAAACTTTTTTTGCGGTCCCCAAAAGTTTGTTGTAACGAGATTTTACTGTATTTACAAGGAAAATTCCTAAAACCACAAAAGGCCTCTCAGGATACCTCCGGAGGATCTGTTTCAAGTTTTTGAATCTCAAACCATGGACAGAAGTACCTCAAAATTACTCAGCATAGAGAGCACATCAGCGTGAAACAATGAGCACAGGTTAAATAAACATCAGAAATGATTTTACTGCAAAAAAACGAGATAGAATATCACTGAGAAACATGCGCAGTTTCCACAGACCTCAACCACGTCCACAGAAACTCAAGCCCAACGCAGCGACCGAGCCGCGCGAGTGCAGCAGCGGACGTACACGAGCAACTAGCACACGAAGCCCTCAGGCTGACAGTGGAAAAAGATGGAGGACAGGGATGGAGAATAAAACATGGATAAAAGAAGAAAAAAAACTAGGGAGACGGGCCTTTCTGGTGTAGCTAGTTGAGGGACTCTGGGGTGAATCCAACTTCAACCTAAGGGAGGAGTGCTGCCACTCACATACTGTTCCTTATATCTTGCAAGGCATTGTAACCTCAGGCGCAGGTGAAATGCATGATTTAACGCACATTCTTGGATTTCACTATTTTACACATTTAAAATTGAGACAGCAAATTCTCGCACAAGCATGAAA